CACCCTGTGCGCCGCGGCCACCGAGCGGTGGTTCTGCGCCCACACGGGCCGCAGCACCTGCACGCAGCGGTCCAGGCTGATGGCGCTGAGCAGGAAGCCGCTGGCGAACATGTTGAGGAAGAAGACGGAGGAGTGCACCTTGCAGAAGGCGGTGCCCAGCTCCCACGAGTGGCCCGCCGCCAGGAAGTAGGTGAAGAAGGGCAGGGAGGCGCTAGCCAGCAGGTCGGACAGTGCCAGGTGCAGCACCCAGGCGGTGACCACGGTCTGGCGCATGCGGCAGCCCACCACCAGCAGGATGAGGCCGTTCTCTGCCAGACCCAGCAGTGCCGCCAGCCCGTGCAGCAGCACCGCGGCGTGGTCCATGTAGCGGGCGCTGGAGTTGCCGTGGCCCTGCAGGCGGCTCATCTGCTCCAGGACCGGGCACAGCGGCTTCAGCGTGGCATTGGCCGCCATGGCGCGCTCTGCGGTTGGGAGGAGACGCCCGGGTTGGCCGTGCCGCCCGAAGACGCTCACAGGACCCCGAATGTCACGGGTCGGGGGGGGAGGGGGGAGGGGAGCCTAACATCCTGCTTCCTCCGGGCTCGCTGTGCAGCCTCGGGCGAGTCACTCCGCCTTCCTGAGCCCGTTTCTTCCTCTGTAGCTCCGGTGCCCGTCACCACGGTTCCCAGCTCATGGCGTTATTGGGAGAATTAAGTAAGCTTTGAGAATAGGGCTGGCGCACAGCGGGCCCCGTGCTCATGCCATTGCGACAGCCATGAGGGAAGTGGCCAAAGATCACCTGGAGGAGCGGGAACCAGTCCACCACGCGGGACTCCTGTCCCCAATCCCCAGAGCACTGCAGGGTGAACCTGGTGGGGCTGGAGGGCTCAGCTGGCCTGGTGGGTGGGAGGGGGAGTCTATGCCACCCCTTCCCACCCCGCAGCAACCCCAGACTTGCCTCCCTGCAGCCCTTGCCCCCACGGGGGTGGCTGGTTGGGTGTGTTGACGGTGCATGGTGGAGCCAGCCCCTCCTCTGATAGAAGGACAGGAAATAAGATAAGAGCCGGGAGAGCTGGGCAGGAGGAACTCCCAGCTGGGGGCTACGGAGGCCCCTGGGGACAAAAGACTGCTCCACTGCCAGGGGCTACCCGGCGGCTCTGCTTGCCCCAGGAAACACCCCCCATTCACTTATTCACTCACACACTTTGCACTTGTTCTGCAGATAAGATGTGCCTGCTCACAGCCTCAATGAAAACCCCAGAGACCACCTAACAGGAGGCTGGTGGAGATCCCATAAGGACTGAGGAAATAGGGGAGGAGGACTCCCTGCATGAGGTAGGGAGCAGGTAGCAGGGAACGGGAACTCAGGTAGTCCTGGGCACCCTCAACTCGCCAGGTGGGTGCCTCCCCGTGGCTCTCGAAGAAAGAGGCTAGCATTCCTGTCCATCCCATTTTACAGATGGGGAAACTGAGGCTCGAGTGTTTAAAGACTACGCAGGCATGTGGCAGAGCAACAGGTCAGTGCCCAGCCGGTGCCCTTTCCTCCACCCCCGTTCCGAGGATGGAGGAGGAAGAAGAAAAGGAAGCAGGGGGAAGGGAACAATGGTCTTCAGTATTCATCTTTCCAGGAGGAGAAAATCCACTCCCTTGCAGGGACCCCAGCCTTTCATAGGGTGGGCTGACAGGTGAGCCCTTGGAGCTGGGGGTGTGAAGACAGCCAGAAGAAGAGCCTGTGCCCCCTGAGAGCGTCACAAGTCCTAAGCTGTTTTAGTACACCTACGTTCACAGCAAGCCTAGGAGACCCCATTTATCAGAAGAGGAAACCGAGGTTCAGAGAAGCACAGCAACTGGCCCAGTGTTTCTCACTTGCAGCAGTGGGGCCGGGACTCTGCTCTCAGCAGACAGTGAGGGCCGTCCCCTTTCTGCTCAAAATCGTCCCTTTCAGCCGGGCGAGGTGGCTCATGTCTGTCATCCCAGCACTTCAGGAGGCAGAGGTGAGAGAAATGCCCGAGCCCACAGGCTCGAGACCAGCTTGAGCAACTTGGCGAGACCTCATCTCTACAATAAATTAAAAAATTAGCTGGGCGTGGTAGTGCACGCCTGTAGTTCCAGCTGCTTAGAAGATTGAGGTGGAAGGATCGCCTAAGCTCGGCAGGTCGAGGCTGTGGCGGCTGTGAGCGTGCCACTGCACTCCAGCCTGGGCGACCGAGTGAGACTCCGACTCAAAAAAAAAGAGAAAGAAACACTCCCTTTAGTCCAGCTTTCTGTCAAAATCCCATGGGCATGCTCAGAAAGTAGGGTCCTGCTCCGCTCCTGGGAACCATCCAGATGGGTCCTTCTGACCCAAGATTCTCAGGGAGCCCAGCAGCGGGGGTCCCAGCTCCTGGCCGGGTGACCTCGGTCAGTTTCCCTAAGCCGGCTGCTGTCCTCCCCCCCCCAGATTGCTTGTGAATATTGAAATAGACACTGGAACAGGTTGCCATAGTCATCCCCCTTCCAGTCTCTGATGATAACTCAGTCCCTTGCCAGCCTCGCGGGTAAGAGCCCTCTCGCCTGGCAAAACTATGCCTTCTGCGGTGGGTCCAGAGATGGCGCTAAGGCTGCCCGGCCCCTGGACCACCGCCTCCTTACCTGGGCACGGAGGGCGTG